CAGCTAACCCTTCACACTTCTAGTCTCATAGTATATTCCAAAGACACACTAAGAATCTAGAATACTAGAACTGACTTGCTATAGCTATAGATTAGATTTCAAATGCAAAGGAAAGCTACCATCAAGTCACACAAAGATGTAACTAAAGTTGTTTTTGTGCAGATCTCAGGATTCCCTTGTCCTATGTCCTGTGTTCTCTTTATATATTATGGCCGTCTCCCCAAGACGTTCCCTCTCTTTTGACATCATCAAATCACACATATTGGTAAAAGTATCATTGGCAGGCTTGTAGGTCTGTCCCTGTTTCTCCCCCAAAGCTACCATATTCTCTCTGTGGCAGAGGGAGCCAATACTGGTTGAGCCTTTACCATGAGCAAGTAAGACTGCTGGCCTTCTTTTGAGTATGATACCATCAATCTCTCAGCAACTCTTTACAGTGGGTGTTGTCACTCCATTTTTCAAAAGAGAATACTGAGACTAAGAGATGTGATGTGACTTATCCAAGGTCATAGAGCCCGCAGTGAAAGTAGGCTTTGATCCCTGGCTACCTAATAGGAAGTTCATGGTCTTTCCACTTTAGCTGTGTTTCCCTGATGGACAGGCCTCTCCCCTTCTCCACACCTAGTGGAAAATCCAAACCAGGGCTGATAAATGTCATTCTCACCACTCCGTGGAAACTGCAGTTACGGGTTCTCCTCTGGGTCCTCTAACCACAGACAAATTACTTTACTTCTCTAAGCCTCCATTTCTCCACCTGGATAACAGGGATGAATTTTCCTACCGATAGTGTCGTTGTGAGGAAAAGGTCCTGGCCTCCAGGAGGAGCTCCACACACGTTTCACCCGCCTCTGCCCCTGCTGTACAGATGTCTGCACTCCCTCACTTCGTTTCCTTCCTTCTCCATCCTCATCTATTCTAAGCCAGAGCTCAGCGCACCGGGACCTCCTCTCTAGGAACCTGGAGGTTCCCATCTATCCTTCCCTGGCCCCCTTGGTTGTTGGGGTGGGGTGTGAGGAGGTTGGCTCCAATCATCCCATCTCAGTTTACCCAGACACAGTAGAAGTGTCTGCAAAACCAGGTCCCTTTCAGCTGATAACCAGGATACATGGGAAGGCACACCTACCTAGACCCCAGGCCCGTGGAATCAGGCATCCTTATTTGCCTGCACCAACATGCACCTGGGCCCCAGCTAAAAAGCAAGCCCAGGTTATCTGGATTGTCAACATCCTGGCTGAGCAGAGCCAATTAGAGAGGAGATCTAGGTGACTGAACAGATGCCTTTAGTTTAAAAAGCAGATTCTTGTAAAGCACAGCCCTGGTCTTGTCACTTCCCTGCTTTTAAAAACTTGCATGGCTCCCTGGTTAAGGTCTGATTTCCTTTTCCTAGCACTTGGGACCTGAACCCACTGTTCATTTCTCATGGTTGTTCCCCTTTCTCACCACTCTCTTGACATAGATCTTTTGTCCCATAATCAAGGTATTCTCCTTCCTGCCTGCCTGCCTTCCAGGAGGTAAGGGGGCAGGTGAGTGGACAGACGGCTTGAGACCAGGTGAAAGATGTGGGCCTCAGCCTGGGTATTCCTCCCTCTGCCACAAGTGCTCTCACCCCCATCAGTTCCCATCGAAACTCTGTGGGGGGCCATAAAGCCTTTCCAAGTTCCTCCAGTGAGATGAGCCCCCTAGTCCCTTGCACTGGGCTGTCATTCTGTTCTGACAAGTCTTATGTCTGCGTTGCTTAGAGCTCCTTGTGCACCCCCACCTACCCCCTCACCCCCGCTCCTTTGGGCCTGTGCCTCTCACAGCGGTCTCTCCTTCACCTTCTAGCCTAATCAGTCAGTGTTCAGGAAATGTCTGTGAAATGAAACAGTGTTCACCATACTTGTGTGATCATACACTGCTTTTTTAAAAAAGAAAAGATAAAGCTGGTGCCCCTTCACTTTCTATGTACATACTTATGCATAGCAACATCTAACGTTTATTAGGTGTTTATTGGCTGCTACACGCTGTTCTCAACATGTTACTTATTTTAACTTCTTTCAGAGCAACCCAAAAGAGAGTGGGATCTCTTTCTACCTCCACTATAAAGATAAAGAAATTGAGGTACAAAGGGTGAGGTATTTCCCCAAGCTCACTGAGCTAGCAATTAGTGGAACTGGATTCCAAAATGTAGGCAGTCTGGCTCCAGAGCCCATATTCTCAATCCAACACTACCCTGCTCCTGTACATGCGGACTTGGTACTGCAGTGCATTTTCATACATGCTTATCAAGCACTCAGGTATTATGTACATATAAAAATGTATACTAAATAGAAATTTGAAAAGGGTGAGTTAAAAATAAATATTTTCTAATATTGTCTTGCATCCTAGGAAATTGATCTGTGCACCCTACCTTGGAGACCACTTAAATTAAAAATTGCCAATGAATAAGAGGAGGGGAACTAACATACTTCCAATAATATCTGTACCTCACAGGAGCTTCATGCACTTACTAAGGGCCTGGCACCTTGTGCGGAGCTCCATGTGTTGGTTATGAATGTTCAGAGAAGCCCTGAGGCCCAAGGGGAGTCTGGGTGATTGGATGGAAGGAAGAAGAGGCAGGCACCAGGCCTGGAAGAGTGAAGTCTGTTCTCGCCCCAGGGTCTCTGAAGTTTGTGATGGAACAATTTACTTAGTTCTGGAACTATTTATTTCATGAAGTTTGACAGATTTACTCAGGAAGAGTCTGTAACAAGCACCCTGGAACAACATATCATGTTTCTTAATTTTTGTCTGAAATTCTAACAGTTTAGCATGGCATGGGACTGGTTATCTCAAGCTCATCAAAAGCTCTGATTAGAGATTATACAATGTCTCTGGTTAATAAAAGATGAGGAAATGAATGTATATTTGTTTAATACATGTGGCCTGGTAGTAAAAACTCTTTCCAAAACTGAGATGGCAGAGGAAGGGCAGTCATGAATGGGGTTCTTGGTGGGGTGGTATGGCTAACTTTAGGAAACATTTAGAGAGCACTGACCATAGGCTCCTACTTGTTCATGCATTTTGTGTACTCACATTTAGTATCTATAGTTGTCACAGCAACTATATAAAAGGCAGAAGATGGGGGCAGACAACTTACAGATGAGGAACTGGCAATAACTTTCCTAAAATCATGCAACTAATAATAGGTGGTTATGCTGTGATGCAAACCCCAATTTTGTTGAACTCCAAAGCTCTAAGAATGTGCTGTACCCCAAGTATATACTGTATACTTTCATGTGGGAGACAGATACAGGTAATTGCAAATATAGCAGGGCAAATGTGATATCAGAACTGAAGACAAGATTAATTCAGAGAAAGGAATGTCCAACCCTCTAGCACTGAGTGGTCAGTGGTGTCAGGGAAGGCTGTTAAGGTGAATTGGGAATACTGGTTTGGAAGAGTATAAGGTGAATCACACCCCAGATTTTTAGGTAAAGAAACCAAAACACAGAGGAAGAAGCCACCTAAGAGGTTGTACCTTGGTCACTGATCCCAGCTGCCTCAGTTTTTCTTGCTGAATTTTTAGTAACCCATCAAATGGCATACACAGCAACTCTATAACATACAGTTAGGCTCAGGGGTTGACCTCAAGAGTCACGGAATCTGTAAAATCCTGCAGGATTTGGTGACTGTGAACTGAGTGGGCTGTTCTTGTGTGGACAGACCACAAAAGTGCTCCTTCCCCCTGCCCCAACAGTCAGCAGCTGTCTGTGCCATCTCCCCTTCGGAGCCCTGCCAAGGCTTAAGATGGCACGTCTGGGCTGCATTATGTACCCTAAGGTTCAGTCTCTTTGAAAAGTTGGATGGATATGATTATGTTATAAACCTCCTATCAATCAAGGTGGGAGAAAATAAGCAGCCCTTGCTGTCAGTGAATGCGTTGTCTTGTACTGTATACTTTGATGTGTCTGTGCTTATGTTCCCTGTCTCGTAGACGATGTACTGCACACGTGGAAAGGTCAGCCACAGATAAGACTGCAAACTGTCTTAGCTCAGAGTTCTCGTCCCAGGCCATCACCACCTCCTCCTTCTGAAGAGCTGGGAGCTTGCTCCTAGAACTATAGAAAGCTGTTATTTAAAAACCATGACATGATAGAAACTTGCAGTCAGACTGGCTGACAGCATCTTGGAACTCACAGAACGTTAGTGTCCTAGAGTTATAGAATGTTCTCATCTTCAACTGTTAGAACTTAAGGATCCTAGTATGTTAGAACCCTGGAATCAATGATTCAGCAAATACTTCTTTAGTGCCTATTATGTGCCAGGCACTATTCTAGATTCCGGGGATAAAAACATGAACAAAACTTCTAAGATTCTAGCTATCAAGGAGGTTGCCGAGAATGCAAGAATTAAGAATCATAAAATGCGAGATTCTTAGACAATGGAAACATTGATGTGTTGAAATCCTAGAATGCCAGAGATGGAAGGAAGCCATGGATCATTCTCTCCAGCTCTTTCCACCTAGATAGAGCCTGTTCCAGGCACGTGGGATTAAAGTCTCACTGATGAGAACATCATCATGTCAGTTGGGTGACATCACTCAATGGCCGGCCCTAGGGGCTCAGTGGTCACCCAATCCTGGCTGCCTATTTGACCAGCGAGGCCACTGAGGCTCAGAGAGGGACAGCTGTTTGACAGTTAACACAGCCCCGTCAGGACCAGACCCCAGGATTTCAGGCCTCTCTCAAAGAACAGGCAGGACAGGGAAGGCTTCGCACGCGTGTCCGAGGGGCCCTCCCGGCCAGCCGTGCCGGCTTCCCCACCAAGGCCGGCCTCAGCTCTTCAGAAGGAGTTCGCACCAACTTTGCCAGCGGAGGCGTCAGCCCCGCCCCTGGCCACGTGTGCAGCAGATCGCCCAGTGTTGGGAACCCCCCTCCCCTGTGGATGCGTGTTTTATTTTGCTCCCTCCCCCTCCCCGTGTGCCTCAAAATCAATTTTCATTATTTTTTTCTGTCTGTGTTTGTCTTTGTGGTTCGCAGGTGCTCCCTTGCATTGTTCATCCGCTTCATCAACCCCTATTGAGCAGTCCCCCTCCCCGCCCCCCTCCCCTCCGGCCAATGAGAGCCAGAGGCGGTTGCTAGGCAACGGTGTGGCCCAGCCAACCCCGGACTCAGACTCTGAGGAAGAGTTTGTCCCTAATTCATTCTTAGTTAAAAGTGGCTCCGCCAGCCTGGGGGTCGCGGCGAATGGTAAGTCCCTCTCTCTTCCTACTTTTGCGGGTTTGTTTTTTTGTTTCCGTTCGTCGGTGGTGCCTGCTCGGGCCTCTTGCACGGGCGGAGGGGCCTGGGGCGCGGTGGGCTCGCGGGGTGTCGGGGTTGGGGAGCTGCTGCTGCTGTCCCCACGCCCGGGACAGACATCAGGTGGGCAGATGCACGGAGACTCACAGGCACCGCCGGGAGACACCAACGTCAGGTAGCGAGGAGACAGGTAAAGGTACAGAGACAAAGATTGAAACGGAAAGAAAAAAAAAATTAAAGACTTGATAGAAGTGACTGGACTACTTTGTGCGGGGGACTGTGCCAGGCACGGTCACTTGTTCCTTCTTTGGCTCCTCCTCACAACCCTGCCTAGGAGCCCCGGTATCATGCTGTCCCCATTCGCATTGAGAAAACTGAGAGAAAGGGAGTTTTACCTGAACCCGGCGCTGGCGTTGAAAGTTCTGGCTTTCGCGCAGCCTGCAGACTGAGGGCCCTGAAGTCCCGGGCAGCCGCAGGGCTGAGCACTGGCTGCACAGAGAGCCACTGGGTGTAAGCACTACCTGCCCATGGCCAGCTCTTTTTTTCTAAGCTCTGCCCTGGCTTTCTTGAGGAGGAGGTGTGGGGGTCTAGAGGAAGAGCTCCAGGCTGACCAGGTTTTAGCCCCTGATCAGGTGCTGCTAGACCTGGGCGGAGGTCCTGCCCTCCCTGTGTCCAGCAGAGGCCAGTCCACTTTTTGCAATGAATCCCTGCTAGGGGTTCAGACCTCTAAGAGGTGAGAGATGGTGCACATTAGGTAACCTGGGGTCACCTTAATGTTCCCAGGATTTCCTGATGCAAGAAGAAGAGGAAAGAAAATGACAGTTTTCCCCCCAAATAACACCATAGGTAGATTTAGATTGTGTGTTGACTTGGAAAACATTTATTTCTAAGTGCCTAAGTGGCCCTAAATGCCAGGCCAGATTCTAAAAAGGAGGCAGAGAGTCAAAGAGGTATAAGGTAGAGTCCCCAGGTTTTGAAATCAGACAGCTTTGGGTTAAATAGGAACTTTATTGCAGTGGGGCTTTGGACAAGTCACATTGCCTCTCCAAGCTTGTTTCAAGTGTAAAGTGGGCAACACAGTACCCACCTTATGCCGAGTGCCCATCACAGTGCCTAGGACAGAGGAGTTTAGTAAATGTTAGTCGTTGCCCTAGTCACCTCCATCTCCCTCTAAAGGATTTGCAGAAAGCTTGTGTGCAAAAGCTCCCAGCACATTGCCTGGCACTTAGGAATGCTCCAAGAAATGTCAGATGCCTTCTTTTCTCTTGGGACTGGATCGTTACAGGTCAATGTACATGATAAGGGAGGGAGGAACCTCGTGTGTTGGGTGACCGGGGAGGGAGCCTCTACTCTGCTTTAGGAAATGCCTCCTGGAGGAGGTGCTCACTGGATCTAAAGGAATAGGTAGGGTGTGCCAGGCAGAGATTATTACCAAGGGGATTAATAGCCATTAATGCTCGTTCTGGGCAGAGGGAAAACATAGACAAAGAACCTGAGTGGGAAGATGGGACGCCTGTCCCAACCCTTTTAAACCTAGAAACCTGGACAGTAATAGGTATTAGCCCTGGAAAGGTTTGAAAAGCCACATGCTGAAAGTCACCTGAGCTCCTCTAGGTACTGAGTTGAGCACCGCCCCCCCCCAAGTAAATGACATAGAAGGGTGGTCATTACCCACCTTCCTTCCCTAGCCAGGACCTCTCCCAGCCTCTGCTCTCTTTGAAAATCAGAGAGATCTTTGGCCTTGATGATTCTCTTCTGACAGGATTTTAGACCCCCTGCATTCTCTAAGACCAAAACCCAAACCATCCTCCAAGGCCTTTTCCATCTCTACTCCCTGAGGGTGGGGTTGTCCCTTTGGTGGTTCAGTGTCACTGCTCCTCTGTACCTTTTAGCGGCTCATGTTTCAAATGATGCACAGAAACAGGAACCCTGGGCTGGGAGTGAGGAGACCTGGGTTCCAGGCCCAGCTCTGCAGATCCCTGGCAATTTGTCTTTGGCAAATCACTGTCCCTCTCCAGGCCTCAGTTTCCCTATCTTGACAATCAATAATGGAGCAATCACTAAGGTACTCTGACTTTATGAGTGTCATGTGATGCTGATACAGTTGTCCCTGCAGGGAGGGAGGAAAAAAAAATATATATATATATACATATATATTTATGTATATATATATATATATATGATCTTTGTTCATTTCTGAGTAAATAAGCCTTGCAAGTAAAAGAGAAGGCAAGAGATTAAAGTCCTTAATCTCTCCCTTTGCTAATTAACTGAACAAGGGCAATCACTTTGTTGCAAACTCTGAGGCAAACTGATGGCATTATTGCATTATTGATGTGCAGGGAAGATGGAGGACTTTGGCCTACAGCTGTCTGCTCAGTTCTCTTCTCTGTGCTCCTGCTCCCCAGGGGACCCTGAGACACTTTGGATTCCTTCCCTGAGGCCCTTGCTCTGAGTGTCACTCTAAATGTGGTTAGTAAACATGGCCTGAGTCTGAAGGGAGAGTCTGGGTCCTTACTGGCCCACTGCTCTGGGATTGGAGTCATAAGAGAGCCCAGTGTCTCACCCCTGGCAGACCCTGCCTGCCACCTTCCTGTCCCCTGAAATCCCAAACCGAGAGTCTTCTATTAGCTAAAGGACCTGTTAGTACTGGCAGAGACCTAGTACTAGTGAGTGAAGAGGACAGAGCCCTGCTGTGTAATGGACCCAACAAATGTTTTTAGGGTTTTGTTTGACCTTTTTTACATGAAAAGAAAAATGTGTAATTATTTTATTGGGATTATGCTTATTTCTTTTGTGAATTATAAAAGTAACAATGCTTGTTAACATACAAATAATATAGAAAGGTACAGCTTTAAATTCTCTTCTAATCCTTCTTCCCAGAGATAACTGCTTTTAACAGCTTGCTGCATGGCCTTTCAGATACTTTCTATTTAGTGTTGACTTAATGAGTGAATGAATGAACCAATGAGCAGGCAATACAAGCTTACGGACCACAGTGTAGCAGAGAGAGGAATGGCTATAGAGTCAACTGTGAAATTGGGGCCATGATATGTGACTCTGGGCAAGGTTCCTAACCTCTCAGACCATCAGTTTTTTGTCTGTGAAATGGGGGGAAGCTTCCAAGTTTGTTACGGAGTTTTACAATGATAAAGCCGATAAAACTCCCCTATCTCCACACCTCCATCCCTTCCACCAATATAGAGATCACCCTAAACCTAGCGATTGCTTTAGGGCCTGCTTCCCCTGAGACTTAACTCAGAATGGACTTTAAATGACAAAGGACGCCTCTCTGCCTGACCCTCTTGGGTGGAGAGGAGGCCTGACCCTCTTGGAGGCAGCCTTGGCAGGGTTTGGGCTGGCTCTCTCCAGTCTCCCCTAGAGGCCCTCTGCCTACAGCTGTGTCAACTCCAGCCTGGGGCTGCCATCCCAGGTCTGCCAGGCCTCAGGACTGCCCCGCTAAAATCCCCATGTAAAGTGCAGAGAGGACGCATAGGGCACCGCAGAACAGCTCACCGTCCCTGCGGAGAAGAAAACGGGGGAAGTAGCTCCTTCTGTTATCAAAATCCTAATCCTCCCCCAAGCGTAATCATCCAGAAATCACTGATATATATAAAGAAAGATTTCACTAAAATATCAACTAGTCACAGTTGAAAAGCAAAGGAAGTGGTTAGGATTAAGTAGGTCTCTGTCCGCACCCCATGGAAGCTTTTCAGAATAGATATTAAACGTTTCGTGAATTGTTCCAATCTAAATTCTAAAGTAAAGGGGCTTTAAAAACTTGGGGGGTTAATATTTAGGAGGGTCAGGGAATAAATATCTCAGAGAAGGCTGTCAGTTTCTCAAAGCCTAGGTCAAGAGGTGTGTGAGAGAATTTACATTTAATGAGTTCCCTCTGGGCGTAAGTTTCTTCTTTATATGCGCTTTCATTTGACCTTCCATTTATGTCCACTTCACTGTTCAGCAAACTGAGGCCCAGTGAGGGGTAGTGACTTGCCCATTGCCCGCTGCTCTTAAGGGGCATGGCAAAGATTCAGACCCAAGCCTGCTTGGCTCCAGAGCCCCTATTTTCTTTCTTTCTTTTCTTTTTTGTTTTGTTTCCAATGCCAGATCCTGTTATTTCTGTCTCCTCTTTAGTAGAAGGTTAGAGAAGATAAGAGAAATTCCACCAAAGAAAAGCTGGTTTTAAAAGAAGTCCGAATTGATGGATTCCTGTAACTCATCTCACACCCCTTTATGAAGCGCCTCTTGTAGGAGAGGCATTTTATCTCCTGGAACCATTCATTGACTCTCATCTACCCCGTGACAAAGCCCATTTTAGCCTCATTGAAGCAGTACAGGTCCAGAGAAGTTAATAACTTCCGTTAAATCACACAGCTTCTAAGTGATAGAGTCATATTTGAACTCCAGGTCTGTCTGATACCATAACCTGGAATCTCAGTTGTGTTTTTGTGAGCATGGTAGGACTTTCAAAGGTGAGTCAGACCAGACGACTTAGACATTAAACTTTGGTACAGCTCCCTGAGAGCTGAGCCCTGGCCGCTGGGCCATCCGTGGCTATTTTCTTTTTCCAGCACTGAGCCTTTCCTTCCTCGCCTTAGAAATTTCTCACTAGTCAGCATCACTGTTGTTTGGCAGTTTCATTAACTTTCTCGGGTCTTAAGCAGCTGGGATTATTTTGTTTTGACTTCCAACCCAGCGGAGGAGTGTTTATTTTTCTTTCTAAATGGGGAACACTGCTATGTATGCAAGCTCCTTCTAAAAGTGTTTTCTTAAAGCAAAACAAAACAAAAAATTCAACTTCATTTAGAACCTATCCGGAGTCCCTGGGGGAGTCTGCTGGGGTCCTTTTAAGTCCGTTTGTGAAATCAGAAGGCAAGAATTGTGCCTGTTTCTAACTGTTGAAAGGAAGTGTCCAGTGAGATTTTTGTCTCCTTTCACTATGAATTTCG